CTTCTGGTGGAACAGACCTTCGAATCTCTTCACCCAACACTTTTACTCGAAATGGAAGTAAGCCCAACAAAATAATGCGTTTAGGTAGTTGCTTTTATGTTGAAGAGACAAGAAGTGGCTGAGCACAAAAGCGCCGGCAAAGACTGTTGGGTTCAACTTCTGGGAATGTATGAAGTTTAGAGTCCGGCACTGGAGACTATCAGAACTACTATTGCAGGTGACTAATGATAAGATGCCCTTATTTAGGTCGAAATGAACAAATATTTAGTTCGTTCGTGGACTTGTAAAACTCGCTTTTTATGGATAAGATGAGAATAAATTGTTCACAATTTGGAGCTTCTACAGACAATATGACTGCAGTGCCACAGAACCAATACCTTAAGTTCTCCAACGTTAATCCATCGAGACCTCAATAGATCACGCCAACTTCTTTAATCCCAACCCCGAGAAGATACAAAGAAGCCAGATAAATGTTTTTACTTTAAGATATACCTCATTTGTAATCCATTTCTTCCTACTCTAATTAATTTGCATAATTCTATTCGTCGTGCATTCACCATTCTGATATTTATTCATCATCAGGATCAATTTTGACAGAATATAATTTGAGAACAGCTAGTCAATGCCAGTAGGTACGCTTAATCATCATCATCATCATCATTACGTATCAAGCACTTAAAGAATGGGCTCACCTAAAAAACAATACATAAACGTCATATTAACTAACGCAAGTGGAGTGGTGGAACCACAGGATTAGATTATACTAGGATGGTAGATAAAATCGTCAGTGAGTATCGCCATTCGTAGCAACACACAACAACTCGTCAAAGAGACAAGTGAAGCCGATCTGTTGACCAAACTTGTGCTAAACAATTGTGGTATCTCCCCTTCTGCTCTGGGTTATTCGCGTTTCCGGTAGCATCCTATCATGCCTTTACTATAACAATTTTTACCGTGTTTATTTACCAAGTCTATGATTTGCCATGCCCTAGTCTCTTGTGTAACAACCCACAAATGTTGTGGTACAGCTTGTTTCGATTTGGTTCAATGTTGAATCACAACATTTGTGGGTTGGTGCACAAGAGACTAGGGCATGGCAAATCATAGACTTAGTAATAGGAATAGAAACAGGATAGAGACAGCGGGGACCTGAGCTGGTTGTCTGACA